GGCGTGTGTTTGGGGCGGCTCTGGGGTGGCCGCTTCACCCAGCCTATAGACGGAGGGACTCAAAGGATTGTGGTGCCTGGTGCGAGGTGGTAGCAGAGGTCGGGTCGCCCTCCCCCCTCGTGCATCCCTGCAGTGGGATCTGGAGCGGCCGGGCAGCCTGCTCTTCTCCACCGTCTCCTGACCGGCTGTGCTTGGCTTCCATGGAAGTGGGTGGCAGAGGGCCCTGGCTCTAAGACACTCCGCCAAGAAGCAGGATGCAGCGGGCCGGGAGAGGGCGGCAGGGCACTGCAGAGAGAAGCAGGCTGCGGGATCGCTCCAGCTCCTACTGCCACAGAGAGAACGGGGATGGGGAGACCCCCACTGCTGCCCTGCCCTAGGCCTTGTAATCCCCTGGCTCGTATTGCTCGGGGGAGAGTGCAAGGGGCAGGAGCGGGGTACAGGTGGGTGGGGTTTGGGGGAAGGGATGGAGCAGAGGCAGGGCAGAGGCAGGATCTGTGGCAAGGGGGTTGCCCTTGGCTCAATGCCTGGGGCACTAGGGGTGGCTTGCCCTAGGCCCTTGGCCCCATCCTAGAGACAGCCCTGCATGGGGTTACTTGCTGTGAATACTACAAGCATGATCTGAATGCCCCAGAAGGAATGAACGGGACAAGGAATCATCAAGCGATCCCTCCCCTGTTCTCAATTAACGTATCTAGTTCTTTTTTTTTAACCTTGTTATAGTCTTGGCCTTCCCAACATTCTCTGGAAAGGAACCCCACAAGTGAACTGTGTGTTGTTTGAAAAAATACTTCATTTGTTTGTTTTAAACCTGCTGCCTGTTAATTTCATTTGGTGACCCCCTAGTTCTTGTGTTATGAGAAGGCGTAAATAACAGTTCCATATTTATTTTCTCCACACCAGTCATGATTTTATAGACCTTGATCAGATACCCCTTTAGTCATCTCTTTTCCAAGCTGAAAAGTTGCAGTCTTATTAATCTCTCCTCATATGGAAGCCGTTCCATGCCTCTAATCCTTTTTATTGCTCTTTTTTTCTGAACCTTTTCCAATTCCAGTATCTCTTTTTTGAGATGAGGTGACCACATCTGCATGCAGTATTCAAGATGTGGGCATAGCCTGGATTTATATAGAGGCATTATGATATTTTCTGTCTTATCTAACATTTTTCTTAATAATTCCCAGCATTCTGTTTGCTGTTTTGACTATCGCTGCACATTGAGTGGATAGTTTCAGATAACAATGCACAATGACTCCAAGATTTTTCTTGAATGGTAACAGTTAATTTAGACACCATCATTTTATATGTTCGTTGGGACTACGTTTTCTGATGTGCATTAATTTGCATTTAGCAACACTGAATTTCATCTGCCATTTTGTTGCTGAGTCACCCAGTTTTGTGAGATCCTTTTGTAGCTCTATGCCAGTGGTCCCCAACCATTTGGGGTTGCTGGGCGCCAGGGGGTGTGGCCGTTCGCCTGCCGGGCGCCAGGGGGTGGGTGGCCCCCCCCCATAGCCACGCTCCCGGGGCCAGCCCCCCCCTGCAAGCGCCGCGCTCTGGTGCCCTCTCCTCCCCTAAGTGCTGCGTGCCCGGGCCGGCGTTCTCCCGTCGCGTGCCGCATGCCTGGGGCTGGCG